AATATGTAGATCACACATTTTCTCTAGTTGAATTAGGCGGACGCTACGCGACACGCAACGCGTGTGGAAGACGAAAAACTAGTAACATAGCATTCTTCTATTAACTTTTCTTGTATAGAAAAAACTTCTTTCTTTTCTCTAGGTGATTTCCAATCCGTATCATTGTTGTTTTCTCCTTTTTGGCATTTTATTCCACTTTTAAAAAATAATTTTTTCATCAAAAAAGTAAGAATAAACACACAAACATGATACTTGTCATTTTTAAGTTGTAAATTCCGAAATATTCCAATTAACTAAAGCATGACATGGGCATACTTAGAACATAAGAGAACCCCATACAAAGACAATAAGTATGTAATATGCATAACTTCCAGGGACTCCACGTATGTAGGGTTCTTCACCCCTTTTGTCATTTCTATATAGTGATCAGTGTTATGTTGTTAAGGATATCGATACATGTGAACTCTATTCTATTATGTAGAACTTCTTATAATGAACATTTGCTCTTAATATTATTTTCATCGCTCCACGTTATTCTGTTTCGTTTGTATTGCTACACCATACAATAGAAGCAGCACGCAGACGTTTTTTTTTTATTGTGGACTTATGTTACGATTTATTGCATTTGTATAAGTTTTTGAAGAAAAACTTGTTCTGTTTCAAAATTTATCTTCTTTTCTTAATGTTTGAGAACATTAATTAATTATGGAGTTTTTTCAGATAAAGTTGTTGCGACCATGGATTCCGTATGTTTTGCTGATATTCTGTCTTATGAGTAAACAATCTTATTTTAAGTATATTGTTGTTATTGGAAATGGACGTTCTGTCAAAGTAACTGCAGAAAATGATGGAACAGTGAGCGAAACAACTCTGAGAGGAGCATTCCTACTTGAGAATGACAAACCAATTGGTTTGTATCGAGATACAATAGCTTTAACTAGGTAGGTTTTCAAATATCTTATTAAGATACTACGATTTTCGTTGACAAGTTTGATTGATGTTTCGAACAAATTTTTACATTCAGGTGTCGCAGACAAGAAAATGACTATTTTTTTAAATTGAATGCGGAATGGGCAGGTGCGGAGTTTGAATTATGTTGGGAAAAAGCACGAAGCAGCCCAACTTCTTCCACTTCTCATCCAAGTTAGTAAAAAGTATTTTGCAAAGTTCTACATAATTTGTAGGAATTACTTTTCATTGTGCTCTTTGTTTAACATTCTCGTGTGAATTATTTCAGAGCCCGGTTCTAAACGAAAACGAGTAGATCATGAACAACCAGTGGAAATTGAAAGTTCGGTTTTCACGAGTATTTTGTATTGAAAACAAAAAATTGAAATCCGTTTCGTTTTTATAGTGTTATGCTTTTTAGACTTGAGCGAGAGCCAGACGGAATACGTTTCGAAATTAAAAAAATTTATTTATTATTCGATTCTGATGAAAACGGATAGTGGAGCCTTCGAAAATGTGAACGCAATTCGTTCGTGTGTTACAGTGGCCAGGAAAGAGTGTGCAATAACTGCTGCTCATTGCCTACCTGACGGCCTTCCCGAAGGTTTCCAATTCGAAATCTTCGATCAGGATGATAAGTCTGTACTCGTGCAAGTGGAGTATATAAACCAAGCTAATGATTTCGCAGTTCTTAAAACAGTCACTAAACCATTTGAAAATTATCCACAAGGCTTGGCTTATCCTGATGCTGGTATACCGTACACTCTCCTCGTAAGTATTTTCTTTATATTCATTTTCAAATAATGCTAAAGGTTCACCTTTTAGGGCTATCATGGTTACAATTATCAGCCCACTACCTTCTTGAGCGCATTCTTCGGCCATATTAGAAATAACAGACATTTTCATAATCTTGAATATGTTCTCGGCTCTCCAGGTTATATTAAGTGTATCGGTTATGTATAAATGTTTTAAATTTAGGAACTACTCGCGGCTGCAGTGGTTCAGGGGTGTTCGAAGGTTTAGCGTTGATTGGAATTGTTGTATCGGGGCGCATTCCTCCTAGAAATATGTATTCTCGTCATATGTCCTTGGCGGACCACGTAGGTGAAGCTTGCACAGAACTAGCCGAGCCGTCATACAACCATATAGTTCCGTGTACAAGGATTTTTGATAATTTTGAAAGTCATCGTAAGTTTTATACCAAGCGTATAAATATATTTTTGGTTATTACAAAATTTTTTAGAGCTATATCGCTCTTGCAGTTCATTATCATCGCCACAAGCTCAATGAAGAGGGGAGAGTGTGAGAAACAGTAGTGATAACTGGAACCGTTTATATTATATTTCTAAGAAAGGGTGATTAGGTGGTCCAGCTAGCAGCGATATACCACTACTGTTAACTATACAAATCACTAACTAATTGTAAATATATATAACATATCTGTGATAAAGCATTACGATATTCACAATCATGAAGAGATAATATAGGACTTATTGAATTATAATTAGTACATAATGATATGGAATGATTCCAAATTTAG